CAAAAAAAAAAAAAAAAAAAAGAAAAAGAAAGAAACGGGGTGACATCTGTTACACAGCCACTGACAGTCAAAACACTTTGCAATCTACGTAAGCAAACTACTACGCTAGAGAGTAATGAATGCTGCGGGTGAGCTCAAGACACCAGGTAGATGTAGAAGCTCCACACACTGCACTTAGAGGCACCCACAAGACAGAGTGAGGAAAAGAAAGCAGAGACCAAGGACTTAGCTCCAAGGACAAGAGGGGAACTGCCTGTCAATGCCAAAGATCCAAGACGGTGCCGCCGCCTGCCTGCTCTGCAAGCTCAAGGACCCAAGTCTGATTCCCCCGTACCAAACCCCCCCACAAACAAAGTAAAACAAAACAAGAAAACCAAAAACCCTAAGAAAAAAAATCCACGATGATAAAGGCAGATAGATTTAGCATTAGGAACATTTTAAAGGTCTCAATATATCTGATAAGAAAACAGATATAAATGCAAATGTATTTTTAAAAAGCAAGATTAGATAAGGAAATACAAAGTTACAAATGCCTTTTTTTTTTTGGAGACAGGATCTCACTATGTAGTTGAGTCTGACCTGGAACTCACTATGTTGCCCAGCAGGCTGGACTCGAACTCACAGCGATCCTCTTGCCTTAGCCTCCCGAGTGCTAGGACTACAGGCATGCACCACCACGCCCGACATACAAATGCTTTTTTACGAAGTTCAAAAGAACGCTTTATGAAGAAGTGATTACTTCATACTATAGTTTTGATTTATTCAAATACTTGAGACATTTAAAATAAGAGAATAGTTTTTTAAAAGTAATTTTACCATTTTAAAAATTAAAATATTAGAAATCTTATATGATAATTTACAATGTTATCTTCTAATTTCTGTCATGTAGAAAGCACATTATTGGGTATCGAAAATGGCCTCAGTAAGTACATAATGATGTAAAGGTTCATTGATCAAATAAGTAAACACAACAGAGAAAATCACAAAGTTCTCTAAATATAGCACATAATCATATTTCAATCATGAATCTAGTTCAACTTCTGTTTTAAGGACATTACCTATTACACGATTATTCTTACCAGGACCATTTTCCATATCAACAAAGAGGAAAAACTTTCTCTTCAAATGGATTCCCCCTTCTCACTACCACTAATGTCTTTGACCTTGACTATTGGTCTGAATTTCTCCCTCTATGCTAGCCTAACACACTGTCCAACCAGGGGCGCCAGCTTGAATTACTGTTATCTGGGTCAGTCTCTAAATAGTGATTTCTTCTCTACCTTGGAATGGGACTGGCCACCAGGGATGTGTTCCAGAAAAGTCTGGTAAAAAGAAGCTTTTTCTGTGTGTGTGTGTGTGTGTGTGTGTGTGTGTGTGTGTTCCCTTTCCCTCCCCCTCACATTCCCCTCCCCCGCTTCCTCTTCTTTTCCTTCCTCTCTCTATTGTATTGTGTTGAGGACTAAACCTTTGCACTAGCTAGATTTTTTTTTTTTTTTGGTACCGGGGATTGAACTTGGGTCCTTGTGCTTGTGAGGCAGGCCACCGAACCACAACCACTGAGCTAAATTCCCGGTCCCAGCTAGATTTTTTTACTCCTTTATTTTTGATTTTGAGACAGAGTCTTACCAAGTCACTAAATTGCTCAGGTTGACCTCAAATTTATGATCCTCTTGTCCCAGGCCCAGAGTTCCGGGATTATACTGTAGGTGCATAACATCACACCCAACTGCTTGTATTCCTTAAAGCGAGAAGAATGTTAAGTCTCAAAGTATCCTGTCAGAGACACAATACCTACAGGTTTTCTGTGTCTCCACTATAATAACTACAAAGACAAAGGTTACTCAACTAATTCTCAGGCTTGTCATCCTCTTGGATCTGGAAAGGTACAAATCAGAAGCTACCAGGAGAGATAATGACAAATAAATACTTTTGAGGATATCTAGAACAAATAACCTTTTGCCTTGTAAGAAAGGTTGTATAAATCAAGTAAGATTTATTTATTCAGATAAGACTGCTCTGATAGCAGAATACTGTAAATAATTCAGATAAGACAGCTCTGGTATCAGAATAATGTGCTACATAAAAAAAAGAATAACATGCTAGAGGACAGAAATTATTCACAGATTAATACTAACTATATATGGCAGAAAAACATCCAAAGGAAATATAAACACTTTAAAATATTTTAGTTGCTATGAAATTATTGTTATTATATTAATAATAATACACTACACTTGGGTCTTAATAAACCTTCCTTCAGGGTTTTAAAATACTCAGTGCGAGCCCTGCCTGCACCCAGTGCCGACCAGTACCTTGGCTCCCTGGGGCTGGACCG